GCTAACCAGTCCACTATTTCCTCGTCCCCCCTTTGAAATTTGCCTACTCGTTCAAAATGCCGTCCTTCGACCTTGGAATCATACCTAGTCTGGTTGTTCTTGTTCGCGATCTTCGTCTCTGCGGGGCTTCTCTTCGGAACGGTTTACTTCGTGAGTACACACCACCAGCCTCCCAATACCACTGGTCATAACCCCCGCACCCTCTTCCTCTTCATGTGTATAGATCATCATGTACTCGGACCTGGAGAGCGACTACCTCAACCCCATCGACCTGTGCAACAAACTCAACAAGGTGCGTTGTCCTTACTCTCAAGCTGGTGCGCACGGACATTGACTGGGGCTTCTCGGTACAATGAAGCTCGTGATTCCGGAGAATGGGGTCCATGGGGCCTTGACGCTGCTGTTCCTGCTGTCGGGGCAGTGGCTGGCATTTTTGTTCAACGCGCCGCTCTTGGCGTATAATGTGAATAAGTGAGTGTGCTTTTTTCTTAGGCGCTGTGTGCCTGGGTGGAGGGCTGTAATCTCGAGTTCTGTCTGCGGCGGCTTTTCTGCACGCGTGTGTCGGACTTGTGCACGGCTCACGCGACACTATTTGGGGGTTTTCCCGCTTGTGCGTCGCGGCTGTTTGCACTGGCTCGGTTTCATTTCCATCCCGGTTTGTTGTGAACCCCGTTTTACTGACCTCAACGCGTCGCCACAGGATTGTGAATAAAAACCATATGCACGACGCAACGGAAATCTTCCGGACACTGGATGGCCACAAGAAGGAAAGCTTCACCAAGATCGCATTCTACCTCATATCATTCTTCTACTATCTATACCGGTATGTTCACCGTCCACACTTCCACCGAAACACGAGCCTAATTTTCTCTTTAGCATGATAGCTACTCTCGTCGCTAATGGTGATTAGGCTATAGGGAAATCTAGTGTGTTCATGTATCATGTAGATCTAGAGACATAATAGTACTACCTTCATTCATCGAGCCGCTGTGCTCACCGCAGCTTAAGTGCTGTGTCCGACATCGGCTGTGATGCCGAAGTGCACGTCACAGACGTCACACGCCACGTGCGAGCCTGGCACCATTGGTGATCAATGTCAGCTCCGACTCGAACCTCTCGTGCGCACTGTCCAACGACTACGACCTCCGGCCCCTGGATCCATCCAGCGCCCCCTTACCACCTTACGACCTATTTTCAATCAACTTGAAGCTTTGACGACTGAGTATGGGCGGCGCAGGTGCGTGTTTCTTTTCGTTTCTTTCAGAGCACCAGCATACTAATGTCTTGTTTTTCTGTTTCTCTTTCACTCCACTTCGCCACTAAATTTCAATCGACTTTTCTTCACAATACGAATGCGTTGCCGACGACTGCTCTCATGCCGACCCACGCACACAAACACGCATGAAAATCGTTGACTTCTGTCCTCCAAAACCCATGGCGCGGCGACCACAGGCTGGTTATTCTTGTTCGCTATCCTCTTGGCAGCGGGTCTCCTCTTCTGCATGGTGTTTTTCGTACGTCCAGCCTATACTCCTTATTCATTCCTACCCCTCCTCACACACCACCTTGCCAGATCATCATGTTCTCAGATTTGGAATGCGACTACATCAACCCGATAGACCTCTGTAACAAGCTCAACCAAGTGCGTGTACCGGTTTATCAAGACAAGAATTATCCTTCCTGACGTTCGACTCTCCTAGTTTGTGCTCCCGGAAAACGGCGCCCACGCGTTCCTCACACTCCTGTTCCTCCTTTCCGGCCAGTGGATAGCGTTTTTACTCAACGCACCACTCGTGGCGTTCAATGCGAATAAGCACGTCCCTTTTTACCGACTACATCCGTGTTCCGTGTCTAACGCATGGCGTGTTGCTGCTCCCGTTTTTCTCCCCGTCGTTTTACTTACGCAGAATAATCAACAAGGCGCACATGTATGATGCAACAGAGATCTTTCGGACGCTTGGCACGCATAAGAAGGAGAGCTTCATCAAGCTCGGCTTCTATCTCCTCTCATTCTTCTACTATCTGTACCGGTGCGTCTCTCCGTCTCTCCTATTACTTGACCACAGGCTGACACATTTCCCCCCCTCCTATTCGTGCTGTGCAGGATGATCGTCGCTCTGATCGCGGATAGCGAATGATGGAGGGATGGCTATCTTGCGTTTATTTCATGACGACACATTACGAGGGGTTGGGTCGAAGGGTTGGGTCTGACCGGGCACGATAGCCTAGGCTGGGCTATCATTTACTTACAGCTGCACAGCACACACCTTCATGGTCGACACCTTTGTCGACCACCGGCAGGCTTCGCTATGTGGAATTGAGCTTGGTTGCAATCGTATGCTTTCGACTTCGATTTTCCATTTGGACTCCATGAAAAAGCGCCCACATCAGAATGCTCTCTACTTTGTGCGAATTTTGTGCTTACTCTACTCTACGTTGACGATTGCAGGAGCTAATCGGACCGGGCGTGCCTGGACTGTGAGTAGGAGGCTGTGAGACTCCATCGGGATTGCCAATTTGGCCTTGAATTTGGCGCCTCGATCACATCCGCCGCCGAAAAACTTTGCATACTCTCTCGTGTGACAAGCTCCAAAAAAAAAGTTTGCCTCCGTTCCGGATAATGAAATCGCCTCTTGGCTATCGCAGCAGCCAGCTATAAAGCTGGGCGCCGGATGCACGTCAAGCTTAACTGTCCTGTTCCATAGACACACCCACACTCCCTTGTCGTTGAACAACCCAATCACTCTTTCTTTATACAGCAATGTCTTCCTCTTCCAGCTTCTACACGGTCTTCACGGCCCTCCTCGCAGCCTTTTTCTCTACTCTTGCCCTGGCGGCACCCACCTCGTCCAACATTGTGGCGCGTGATTTTACTGGACGGGCCACCTATTTCGAAGTCGGCCTTGGCAGCTGTGGTTGGACCAATGTTGATACCGACTACATCGTCGCACTCAGCCCCAGCACCTACGCCGGTGGCGTTCACTGCGGCAAGGTAGTCAAACTCGTCTGTCAAACTTGTCCGTGATCACTGACGTTCTTGTTTGCAGCAAATCACTATCACCAATTCGGGCATCAGCGCCACTGCAACCGTCGTGGACACCTGCCCCGGCTGTGGGCCCGACGATCTTGGTATGTACTTATTTCTCGTGGTTTCTATGCCAGATGCTGATCGTTTTACGTGCTTGGTAGACATGTCACCGTCCTTGTTTGCCCGCTTCCAACCTCTTGCGCAGGGCGTCTTCCAGATGGGGTGGAACTTCAACTAGTGGCTGAGCCACACGCCATGACCAGTGGTTATGGAGCCTTAGTACTAGTAGGACCATCGACGCGTGTACGACTACTGGTCTTTCGTGCGCGGCTGGCGGGCGCATAATACAAAATGTAAACTTACCCAATTTCATTCGCCGTTTTTGAAGCGTTGAGATGCCACAGGCAACGTGGAGCGACAAAAAAGAAATCCTTGGTACATCCCTATTGACCACCGCAGGACTCGAACCTGCAACCTTTTGGTAGGGTGGACGTGAAGCAATCGAAGCCAAACGCGCTACCATTGCGCTAGGTAGCCATGTCATGGGCTTTGTCATGGTCGTAGATATCAATAATGACTGTACCGGCGCTGAAACCGCGTAAGTCCAAGGATCAAGGTATAGGCTTTTTACATCAGGACTAGTGCTCTTTTTCAGCCTTCCTACTGGGTTGACAGACACCACAAGTTGGAGGTACTTAAAAGCTTGAGCTTGAACGAACGCGACGCGTTTCCGTCATGCCGGTGATCTCGTGACAGTAGAAGCTCCAAAAGGAAATCTGATATGATGTGGGCTCTAAACCTCACCCCACTGCCCACTGCCCATTGCTCCCTCTCTTTTCCGTCAGCCTGATTCCAGCTATGGGTGTCCATGGCTTGGCTACATACCTCAGGGAAAATCAGCGGGTTCTATCCATGAGCCTCAGTTTGCCTGTCAAGGAGGAAAAACCAGTCCCAATTGTTGTGGATGGGTGGTCGTAAGTGAGATCTAGCTCGACGCCCTACCGCTGTTTAATTGAGGTAGATTCATTTACGACCTACATCGCAACTCTAACCTCCCATGGGTGTACGGGGGCGAATACGACCAATTTGCAAAGCTTGTTGCTGCGGTGGCTGAAGCTTGGATCAAAGTGGGACTCAAAGTCTACTTTGTTTTTGACGGTCTGTATGAAGGTGCTATGGGTGTATCTGACTCCACCTGACTTCCGACGCACACATACTAGGTGCTTGCCCAGAGCTGAAGTTTTCCACCCTGGTCTCACGTCTAGGACAGTCTCACGTCCAACCATCGCTGCTATTCTTTCGGACCTCGCCAACCTCCCGTGGCACAGCCCGCTTTTTGAACGAAACTCGTATAATTCCTCCACTGACATACACGGCATGCATTCAAGCTCTGTCCACCGTTTGCAAAACTTCGGACGCGGTGGAACTCCATTTTGCCGATGAAGAAGGCGATCCGTACGCCGTTGAACTCGCCGGGAAGCTCGGAGGTTATGTCGTCGGAAACGACTCAGACTTCGTCGTTCTCAACACTGAGGGCTACCTTGGATACATACCCTTGGAGGAGATGATCTGGCATGCGCCAGTATCTGCGGAGACTGTTGCTCCCGAGGAGGACAGTGACTTCCAAGAGTTTCGCAAACCCAAAGCCAAAAGGAGACCTGCTGTCAATCTTGGGGTCGGCAGAGGCATTATCCCACCCGACGCCGTCGCCAAGGATTTGACGCTCTCTCTCACTATATACAAGCCGGACGTGCTAGCTGCGCACTTGAAAATACCAGTCACGCTCTTACCCCTTCTCGGTGCGCTCGTTGGGAACGATTTCTCGAGCCAGCCGGAATCCAATCGGCGCAATGTCCAATCCTTGTTCTTCGACAAGCAGCTGTCATTGTCGCAACGAATCACACGCGTGGCGGCCACCATCCAATCCATCTTATCCCCCGTTACACAACGACGCAAAAAACCGAAACATCAAGTCGGTAGTGTCATGGATCTCATCGACTGCGCGGTCAACGCGCTACTCGCACGCCTGGTCACGACGTTAGCGTCAGGAGAGGTCGACAATATCGTAGAAAAAATCGTGGAAGCCACGCTCCAGTATGCGATACCTAGGCGCGGGGAAGACACGCCGAGACAGGAAGGAGTCTGCGCATTACACGAGCCTGAAGCATGCTCGCTATTGCCTTCTATCTCTCGACGGGTGGCGGCGGAAGCTGAAACATCTGAGGGTGAGGAAAGCGATGAATTGCAGGACGCGATTACGTTGCGTAGCCTCTACTTGCACGCTTATCGACGTGGGCACCTCTCTCCGAAGATTATGGATGCCCTTAACTCGGGGACGTTCTGGCCACGCCTTTTCCTTGAAAATCCGGATCTCGAGACGGTTAGCCGGAGTGTTGGAAGGCCGATACGGCAGTGGATGTACTCGATACTGCACGACGCTGTGGGTCTCCCAGAGGAGGCGCTCGAGGAGAGCGATGACGAAGGCACACAGGTCGAAGAGGAGGATCAAGAAGATGACGAGAATGAGCTCATCGACGTTGTGGAGTCCGACAGCGAAGATGAAAATAGCGGTGATCCACTTGCTCCCTTGAAAGGTGAACTCCACCGACTCCATCGCTCGGACACCCAGGCTTTGGGCTCCCCCACAGCGTCTGTATCTCGTCTCTCCACGCCACCGATTGTCACCGAGTACCTCCGGCGTGGAACGCGGGTTGCCTCAGAGGCGGTGACGGTGACACCTCTTAAGCAGCTTCTGTCATCCATA